GGCCGGGGGGCTCCACATGGGGTCAGCTGCCCAGGGTGAGCTGTTCCTGCTCCATCCCTGCAGACAGGAGCCCCCTCTTCCCCCAGAAGGGTCTCCATCCTGAGCAGCTCTGTTTGTCCCCAGGATGGTGGGTGAGGGACAGCCACACCTTGGCAGAGCTCGTGGTGGCAGCAGTGCCTGTGGGACAGAGGTGAGGGCAACCTGAGCCACCACAGCAGGTCCTGGTGGCACCTGCCTGTCCCTGTGCTGTCTCCTGTGCTGTCCCCCCTTCTGCCTGTCCCCAGCTTCATCCCACACCAGACTCCAGGAGGATGATTTTGCCTGCCCAGAGGTCACTGTCATTGCAGCAGTGCCACGGTAGAGGTGGCAGCAGGGTGTGAGGCTGGGCTCTCCATGCTGGCACCTTCTCTGGGACGGGGCTGGGACCAGCAGGCGCCTCCCCAGCTGAGCAGGGATGCCCCATCCTGTAGGGCTGGGCTTCTGGAAGCTGCAGACCCCAAACTGCCCCTCGCCCTTGGGTCTGGGGGGTGACCCTTTAATCCACCGAGCTTTAATATCWCTATTTCTGGCTCTTGAGCAGGTCAAGTGCTCATCACAGCCAGCATGGGCTGTGTGAGGGGAGAGAAAATCAGTGCAGGGCACAGCAAACACAGCCCTTCTGTGCCTCCCTTGCCCCGTTTATCACCTCCTTTTAACATAATTATGTTTTTATTCCAGCGGATCAACTGTCTTTGAACRACTGGTTGTTCCTTCCTGTACTCACAGGTGAGAAGGGMTTTTATTGTTTAGTCTCTTCTGCTYGGTAAAAACTTCAGGGTGGGTAAATTATTAGGAAAATTGTAACTCTGAATGTCCTGACGCTGCCAGGGGAGGCTCCTCCAGCGCCAGGACACGCCACAAAAGGCTGGAGCACAGAGGGAAAGCAAAATGCAGTGATAAGAATGTAAAACACTAATACTGGGCACTGCAGCACCTGAAATACAGGAAAAAGAAACCGAGACAATTTCCAGCTCCACTTTGCAACMATTTATTTATTGGGAATGCTTAAAAAAAACGAACAAAAAGAGAGTAGAGAGAAACAAAGTGATGCACAGACCAGCCTATCACATGCTCTACACCAGGGACACGCTCAGGGCTGCTCGGACACCGGACGTGCCGCGGGTGCCGGGGCTGCACTGGGAGGCTGCAGGTGCTTGGGACGAGGTGACACCAGCCCCAAATGTCCCCAGGAGGGTGGCACYGGCAGGGCTGATGCAGCTGTATGTRTCCACACCTGCCTGAGCCCCGGTTTGTCCCYCCTGCCCATCCCTGCCAGCTCCCACACAGCGCCCTGGCTGCCCCACAGCCCCTCCCCGGGTAAGCCTCCTGCTTTTTTGGGATCCCCCCTCCCCACACCCTTCCCGCAGCTGGGAGCCCTTCCARCTCCCTCCTCCTTGCCCCTCCACCCCTCTCCGCTCCCGTGGGCTGGGTGGGGAAGGGGAGGGAGGGGGTGGGAGGAAGTTTTGGCCGAGGCAGCGCCTCTCCCCACCCAGCCCACCTGAGTTTGCAGCCGGTGCCAGCGCATTCCCCGTGCCCCGGCGCGCAGCCCGGCCGGCTCAGCACACGGAGCAGCTGTTGGTCTTGTTCATGGGCGGCCGGAGCGCCTGCTCCTTGGGCAGCGTCTCCCTCCTCTTGCAGAGCGCGGGGCTGAGCCTGCTGGGCAGGTTTGCCTGCTGCAGCAGCTCCCTGAACACCTCCAGCACGTTCTCGTTGTCCTTGGCCGACGTCTCCAGGAAGCGGCTGTTCCAGTCCAGCTCCACCAGCGACAGCGCGTCCTCCGCGGGCACCTGCCGCTCGCCGCCGCTCTCCGCCTTGTTGCCCACCACCACGATGGGAGGGAACTTGTCCTCCTTCACCTCCAGGATCTCCTCCCGCAGGCTCTTGACGCTCTCGAAGGACTCGGCGTCATCCACGGCGTAGACCAGGGCGAAGGCGTCGCTGTTCTGGATCGAGAGTTTCCTCATGGCCGGGAAGGAGTAGCTGCCGCTGGTGTCCAGGATCTCCACCTTGACCGTGGCCCCGCACACCTCGTACTCTCTGCTGTGCAGCTCCTCCACCGTGCGCCGGTGCTTGGGCTCGAAGGTGTCCAGCAGGAAGCGGCGGATCAGGGCGGTCTTGCCCACGCCGGCGGCTCCCAGGAACACCAGCCGGACGTGGTTCTTCTCCTTCACCACCAGGGACATGGCTGGCACAGGGGACGGGATGCTGGCAGCTGGCGCTCACCCCGCAGGTGTSCCTGGGTGCTGCAGCCCCGGCGTGTCCGTCTGTCCGTGCTCCCCGCGCCGGCTCAGCGCAGCCCGGGAATGTCGGTGCCGCCGCTCCGTGAACTTCTCCCACCTGCTCTGCCGCGCACTCTACGATCCCCAAGTCCAGCTCATTTTTTTATCCCGGTCCCTGTCTGCCATGTGGCACCGCGCTGTCCAATCTCTGTGGGTTGTGGGTGCTGGAGGAGGGGGGCCAGGGAGGGAGGAGAGCGGGGTGCTCCGGGCCAATCCGCAGAGCGCAGCCCTGCATCGCTGCCGGCAGCGCGGGAGGCGGCGGCACCGCGGCACCGCCAGCTCCCAGTGTGGTCACTGAGCTTGGCGTGGGCTGGCGGGCAGCGGGGACCCTCGGGGACAATCCACACCCGTGGGGTGGCTCGTGGCCAGGGGCTCACAGCGGCACCCGCGGCGTTTCCTGCGCGCCCCTGGGGCTGGGGGCTCCTTTGCGGACGGGGCTGCTGCGAACGTGCCCAGGTCTTCAGTGGAGCGATGAAATGTTTGGCTGGAGGGGGAAGATAAGCTCTCCCGTCTGTCATAACCTCCTCATTCAGCTGTCAGTTACACGGTGATTTTAGTGAAATATTTAACCAGAGGGGGAAATAAAATCTCCATGAGAGCGACACACGGTGCTCTCCGAGAGCAGAGACAGGCTGTGACCCACGAGTGGGGCTGCTCCAGAGCTGCAGGCTGCCCCATCCAGGTGTGTTCCTTCAGCCCTTCCCTCCATCCCACGCTGGAGCTGTCTCACCAGCTGATTTATGCCAAGTGCAAATACAAAGAGAACTTGTTCAAAAGTTCAAATAAGTTTCTATCTTTAATTTGTGGATGTGTGGGGTTTTGGAGCTTTAATGCTGTTGGATTTCTTTCCATAGCCAAGTGCCAGTTCCAGCATTTAATTCTGGATTAATCTGTTCACCTTTTCACTAGAATTATTCCTACCTCTTAATTCTCCAATTATTACATTTTAGCCATGTTAGGAGCTTTCCAAGCTAATCTTTTTATCAGGAGAGCCATGAGATGGTATCRGGGTGAGCAGAGTGCTGTCCCAGTCTCAGGCTGCCCTGGGAGAAGGGGAAATTTGGGTCCCCAGCAGGACTGACAGTGGGATGGTGTTCAGTGCCCCGTGGCATCATCTGGTGATGCACTTCATTCGTTGTGTCTGGGGACACTGCCTGAGCCATGAGGAGATGCCAAAGGCAATGCCAGGACTGAGCTGTGGCAGTGGAAGGAGCTGGGGGTGCAGATTTGATGGCAGAGCCACAGGACCTTGGCAGGCTGCAGAGCAGGAGAAGGGGTGGGTGAGCAGAGGGGGCACCAAGGAGGCAGTGATGGGGTTTTGGTGCCTGGTGTGACACCAGTGGGGATGGGGCACTGAAGAGAGCAGGGCAGGGCAGGGCAGAGCAGGTCACCTCAGCCAGCCTTTGGGAGCTGTTTAAAGCCAAACCCCGTTTGGTTAATAAAAAAGAACCTGGTTAATGCTTCTTTGTGTTTGGTTTTCAAGAGAGGTGAAAGGGGTTTCCCACAGTCCCTCCCAGCTGCCAAAGCTCCTCAGTGGCCCAGGGTGTGCTGGGGGACTGTGATGCTCTCACTGCTGCTCATTTTCCCAGAATTTCATCCCAAAGGGCCTCCAAACAGGGATCTGTTTGATCTCACAATGCCCAGTGTCTCTCACAGGTACAGAAATGACACCCAGGGTGAAGGAGGAGCCCATTGGCAGGAGAGGGCAGGCACCCCAGGCTCCAAGAGCCCATCCTGGCTCTGAGCCACCCCCATTCCTGGTGCCAGTGCCAAGCAGCAATGCCATCCATGAGGGGTTTCCAAAGCTGTGCTGGGGAAGGGGACCCTGCTGCTGTGGGACTCAGTCACACCATGACCRCTGTCCTTGGGTCATTTCTGCAGARACAGAGGTGTCCTGCCTGCTTGGGCAGGGTGAAGGGCCAGCCTGGGCTGTGAGACAAAGCTCTGTGGCACTGTGGACACCCAGAGTCACACACAGTGACAGTCACACAGCCGGGCTCTGCATCCCCARTGATTTTTCACATCACTTGTCTCCCCTCGGTTCTCACATCTGTGCTGCTATGGTTACCGAGAGCCTGAAAGGTTTTAAATCTCCCTCAGAGCAATGGAGGATTTCAGGGTAATCTTGTTAGGAGATGAGCAATGAATATTTCCAAAGGCCTTTTGCATGGATAGCTCGTTCCCTGTGAGCTTATGGCCCCTGACAGCAGYGAAAGCAAAGCACGGGAGGACTGAGCAGGCAAGGGTGAACACAGTGACTTGTTTTCCACTGCAACCCTTTGTGCTCAGAGTAATGTCCCCARATTCTTCTGTTTTTCAAGGCTGGCCAGCTTGGGTCAGGTATTATTAAAAAAAAATAATAATTCTGTGTTTCCCCCAGGAAAAAAGCTCAGAGGGCCTTTATGGGTACTTGGAGATGGGGACGGTGATGGATGGGCCCTACAGAAAAGCCCTGCATCCCATGAGCTGAGCATCCATCTGCAGGGACCCACTGGAGTGGGATTGGGGCTGAGATGGTGATGGGAGCGTCCAGGATCCATTCCCTGAGGGGTTTGAGTTTGGATCCTGCAGCCACGGGAACTGGAGCATGGCTGGGCAAAGCCTGTGCCAGCGCTGAGCCAGAGCGTGGCCTGGGCTGTCCCCACGGGAGAGGGGACCGTGACACCCCAGGGATGGAGGGAGGGAGGGAGCAGAGCCCCGAGCAGGGCAGGGAGGGAGCAGAGCCCCGAGCAGGGCAGGGAGGGAGCAGGTGAAGGGAAAGAGGATGAAGGGACAGCAGCAGTGATGGGCAGGAGCTGGGGCAGAGCAGGAGTGAGTTTGGGGTGAGTTTGGGGTGAGTTTGGGACAGGTGGAGTCGCACACCCAGTGCCCACAGGCAGGGCTGGGGCCAGGGGCTATCGGTCATCCTTGCCCCAAAGCCCACCCTGTGCAGAGCAGTGGGGTGCCCCATGGGAATGGGGTGATCCCCAGGGTCCCCAGAGCCACCAGCTGAGCTGGGAATGCTGGAAAGGGCAGCCTCGGGCAGCCAGGACAGGGCACTTTGGGGCAGAATGATGGGAAATGGTGTSTGGGCTGCTGCTGGCCACCGTGTGCTGCTGGGGCAGAGCTGCTGTAGGGACCGGGGAGCACAAGGACAAGGGCAGAGGAGTTTTTCCCTGCTCCTGGGGAAAGCATTCTGGACAAGAGAAACGCTGGGATCTGCTCTTCTCACAGGGCTGTTGGAAATGGGGATCCTGTGGTGCCCCCTCTGTCCCTGAACCAGCTCTGCTGCTGGAGAGGCACGGATGAAGCTCTCACCAAAAAAACCATCCCAATGTCCTGACAAGGTTTGAAACATCTTTTACAAACCTTCCACATTTTTATTTCACTTGCAAAYTTACGTTTGGTGCCTCAAAGTGATGGAATGAGGGAGAAACCAGAAGAGCACAGGATCCCTTCCCACTGGCCAAGGGCTGCCCAGCTCTGCTGCTGCTCCCCCAAGTGAGAAGGACAATGTTCCCCGTCAGGAGCAGCCCGTGCTGTGCCTGTGTGCTTGGGGAGTTCCTGTCTCAGTGCTCGGCTGTCACGGCTCAGAGGGAACAGCAGCTCCGATGTTCCCAGCGATGCTGGAGCTGCTCCAGTCCCGGACACGGTGCCCGGATCAGCTCTGCTGGTCACACACGGGGTGTCAGGAGCCCTGAGCCCGGCCCAYGGCTGGCAGGGTGCTGGGGAGCACTTTGAGGCACCGTGGCACCTTCCCAGGAGCCCAAGCCGGCTCTGGAGGCTGCTGGAGCTGGGGTGGCTGTGATGGGTACCCCGTGCCTCGGCATCCCGTGCCTGTCACCCCCAGCAGGGCACGGTGGCCGTGGGCACAGCCTGGGTGGACATTCCCACCCCGTGCCCTGTCCCTGCCCACAGATAAATTAATGGGGAGCATGAGGGTGGCTGCACTTCATTATACCTGCCTCTTAATTCTCTAATTATKACATTTTAGCCATGTTAGGAGCTTCCCCAACTAATCTTAGCAGAGCCAAGAGATTATATCAGGATGAGMAGAGTCCTGTMYTGGTCTCASRCTGCCCTGGGAGAAGGGGAAATTYGGGTCCCCAGCARGACAATGGGATTGGTGTGCAGSTGTCCCAGCAGAGGTGCTGGGAAGGAAATGGGCAGTGAGGAACCTCAGTGACACCGTGTGCCCTGCCCGTGTGTCCCCACTGCTGGCCCTCACCCCTGCCAGGGCCGGGCAACAGCCTCGAGGAGTGACCCATGGCCTTGAGGGGTGACCCAAGGCTTTGAGGAGTGACCCATGGCCTCAAGGGGTGACCCATAGCTTCCCCCAGCAGGAACGAGTCCTGGATGGGAGACAGAGGAAACAGGAGAGGGGAGGAGAAGCTGCTGCCTGGCGTGGGCAGAGAGAAAGCAGGGCTGTGGACACAGAGAAGGTGACAGGGACAGTGAGGCAGGTCCTCCGCCGGTGTGGGGAGAACCAGCGGTACCCGAGAGGGTTAAACCCACCTCTGGCAGAGATTAAATCCCAACAACCTTTGGTTTAGCGGCAGGTGAGAGGAGAAATCCGACCCCTACAGATTGCACTGCCATCGGGGGAGCCGCAGCCCTCCCGGATACAGGGATGGATGGATGGATGGATGGATGGATGGATGGATGGATGGATGGATGGATGGATGGATGGATGGATCAGCCATGGGTGAGCTGCCCCTGAGCCCGCTCCTGGCACCCTGGGCACCCTGGGCCATCTGCCCCTGCCCTTGGGCAGAGAGGGTCACACAAACACCCCCAGAACCGAGGATTGGGGTTCACCCAGAGCCCCGGGCCGGGGGTCAGTGGGGAGGAAGGAGAGTGGGGCTGGGTTTGGGATCCCCCAGTCCTGCTCATTGCTTCAGGGGAGCTCCATCCTCCATCCTCCTGGCATGTCCTGCTGACCCAGCTCACAGCCGGGCTCTGGGAGCCAATGTCACCTGCGCTGCCACCAGCGAGGAAGCTCAGCCCCTGTGACACGGAGCTTTAGACACAGGGGCACTGGCAGCTGACCCTGGCATGGTGCTTTTCCCCTCCAGATGACCCCTTCCGTGCCACAGAGGCCACCTGGGGTTTGAAACCCCTCCCTGACCCCGTTTCCTGCCGCAGCCCCTGCGGGAAGCACGGACAGCCTGTACTAAACCACCTCGGGT